CTCGGCGCGCAAACAGGCAGCAGCCGCCCTTCACTCTCCTCTGCAGCTTTGGCTCAGCTGCTGTGTGACTGCGGTCCCCGGGAGAACAGGGCAGGTCTTACTGGGGTCCATGTCGTGGCTGTCATCACGGGGACGTACCTGGTGCCTGGCAGCATCCCCCCGTGCTGTGGGGCTGGCTGCGAGGGGTGGGTTAAAAAATTTGGGACCTGGCCAGACCCTGGGCAGTGTTGGGTGAGTGCTGGCCACATGCAGTCTTTGCTGGGCATTGCTGTGCTTGCCAGTGAGGGTGACAGGTAGGAAGGGACAGAGCAAATGCATCCTCACCCAGTGCCTGTATCCTCACCCTGCAGGTCCCTTGCCAGAACCAGTTGCCAATGGCGATATAGGAAAGGTAAGAGAGCTTCATTTTGTTTTTAATCCCATCTATGCCAGTCTCTGGGCAGGGACCCTGCCTGTTTAGGTGTCCCCCCTGCCCCTGGGTGGGTGATGCCACCAGGGACTGCAGTGCTCCCAGGCTGCCACACAAGAGCAGGTGCCACTGGGAAGGGGACCAGGAGCTGCTGTCCCCCAGGAAGGGGGTTGCCTGGGGGCTGAGTGTCATGGAGGAGGAAGGGAGGCATTGCAGCCACCTCCTCCATCCTCATGATGCTGCAGGGCTGGGAGCCCTGGTGCTGTAGGGAAGTAGCATCCAGTCCTGCAGCTAGCCTCCTCCTTCTCCTCCTCCTCCTGCTAAAGCCAGGGCAGTCAGGCCGGGGTTTAATCCTTCCCTGCCCTGGATGGGCCGCACTGAAGGTATTTATGAGCCTGGAGCTCGCAGGGGATTATGTGTGGGGAGGATAGATTTTGCGGCTCCCCGGGCAGGACTCGCAGCTCTGGGGGCTGTCCCCAGACGCCAGGGCTGGAGCTGGCCTGCTCACGTTCGCTCCCTACTCCCCCACAGGAAAACGGTGGAGAGCCGCGGTCCAACTTGGTATCCGAGAGCCCGTCCAGCCCTGGGGTGCTGGCTGTGTCCCCTGACTCCAGCGAGACCCTCAGTGAGGTAGGGCTGGGGATGCCAGGGGGAGGCAGTGGCTGGAAAGCGATGTCTGGGCTGAGCCCCCACCACAGGGCTATCCCGGGGGGCATGGTGGGACTGACGCAGCCTCTCGCCCCCCAGCCCAACGCACAGGAGGGTGACAAGCGCCATTCGGCATCTGGCTCCCTCCTGGACCTCGACATCCCACTGGCAGTGGCCAAGGAGCGGGCGCACCAGAAGCGCACCAGCAAGCGAGCCCCCCAGATGGACTGGCGCAAGAAAA